TCTGAAAACGGCCGGAAACCATTAGAAAATGCTTTCTGAATTCTGAGAAACGAAGGGGGCCAAAAGAAGGGTGGAATAGGGGCCCGTTGAAACAAAAAGAGTGGGAGCCATTCAGCCGAGAAGAGCATAACCACCAACCACCACCACCCATACTTCCTGTCTGTTCTTTTAGAAGGGGGAGAGAGAATAGGTGGTGATGTTCTTTCTTCTGAAAGCAAAATGGGGAGACTCATTTGGGGTTTTTGAAGGGAGGAGGGAGAGAGAGTGAGAGAGAGACCGGAAGCAGACCTGTGGCCCATTTTGACTCCAAAAAACAAGAACGGCTCGCCCAAAAGCGAGGATTAGTGGGGCCATATGGACATTCGAAAAGATCGAAATGACGCAGACAGACAAACAGACATAAAAAATCCCCCTGGATAATCGATCAGGCGAAATGGCAACAACTGGACGACAGCTAAGGGATTCTCAAAGCTTCCAGCCGCTAGTTTGAAGGATGAAGCCCCGAAAAACAGGCCCGACGCCAGCCAGCTAAAATATTGCTTGCATTTCTATGACCCTAACCCGATCCTCAATCAAAATGGGTGGACGCGAACGAACAACTGCCGTTTTTTGGTCACTAGACCCCTCTAGCTAGAGGGCTAGGCGATGATTGATTGATGCAATATTGGGGGCCCACACCCAGTCTAGGCTGAAGACAGCTGCTAGCGGCTCAAAAATTAAATTATGTCTAAATTGGCATCCAATTATAATATAGAAACTATTTAAAAAATGGGGTAATTCGTTTTGAAGGATTTTTAATTCAGTTACCCTCTAACACCGTCCGGGGGGCACTGATTCGATATTTTTCGAATATAATTACGCAAACATTTGATAAAATAAGTTAGTTTGTTTTCAATATCTTAAATGGAATTCACTAATATTAAAAATCATACAAAAAACACAAATCATTTAAAAAAATATTATTCGAAATCAGTGCGCCTGGGCTTGATAATTCAGTGAGCTTCCCGGACAATCGATTACGCTGGGAAATAGAGTTTCTTACCATACAATAATTTTTTTGTTTAATAAAGTAAATAAATTGACATCCAATTAGCTATATACAAAAAAGAAATAAAATAAAAGCTACCTTCTTGACATAGCGCCAGTGCTTCGTCACTTTCAGTTGTCGTGTCCACCGTGGCACCGCTGGAAATATCGAATTATTATATTAACGCCCAAAATAGGCACATAAACTATAAAAACGGTACGAAAGTAGATTTCCTCAAATTGAGTCGTGTTTTCCGTGAGAATCGAATAAAAGGGAGGGAAATGGGGGGAAGGGAGAAGCAGGTGAAAAACCTTCTTATTAAACGGGCTGCCAGCCAACTACTTGCCGGCAAACAGTAGTTAGACAAAAGGTAAAAAGTTCTTTTGCTAAGAAATCAACTAACTGACATCCAATATTACTAAAAATTCAATAAAAATTATACTATAGCCATTAAAAACTGATTTTTGAAATCACTGGCCCGGGCGGTAGGTAAGAAAATAAAAGGAAAGTTGTTAATATAACGGTAAACTAATTAAAATAAGTTAGGAAAAGAAAATTGCTCAAGAAAGAGCTAAAATGAGAAAAGTATACTAGAAAAGCGTGTTTGGACCCTTGTCCAAGACAGACAATTTTCGCTAGGGTCGGGTATCCTCAGTTGGAATCCCTAGCGGACAATAAAATAGTGCTATTATTTTGGCAAAAGTATCTATAGGATAAGAAAACTATATCGGGAAGGTTAGAGATTAAGTGTATAAACGGGGTAAAAGTTTTACTTTCTCTTTCTGCTTGCTACAACGTAGTTTGCTGAATCGTTTACGTTAGGTAAAGGGGTGGCATAGTAGCGGGGTGTAGTCTACGGGCTGGAATTCGGGAAAAATAAAAAGGCATGGATTCGAATATGCTATCGATTAAATTGACTAAAAACAAGCCGAACAGGTTTTTGTATAACAAACTACTGTAAAACCCGCGAAAAATTAGATTTCCGCATCCAAGGCCAATTTCGGGCGGCAGTTGACGTGGCTGGCGGTTGCGATTAGGATCTTCTAGCTACTTCGAGTACTGGTTAGACCAGGCAAATAATGCGATCTCTCTAAGTCATTATTTTATTTGTCAGTCAATTTGCATAAAAAAAGTTTAAAATGGTTTCTACCTGGTCCGCCAGACGATACCACTCTTATTGTCGTCTCGCCTTTCCGAGGTACGCAACACTGGATAATGGAACACCTGAAAATTGCAGCTTGTTGGTTTGAGGCCATATTTTGTTGTTTATTAACTATTGTTTAATTGATTGCCATTTTAGGAATTTTACGTTTAATAATGCTTCCGAACCAAGTTGGAAAGTTTTTATTGATTTTCAGCTTTTAAGAGATGTTCGTTTTTTGAACATTCAGTGATTCTCCTCTTAAGCTATCAAATTATGTTTTTAAACTTTTTTAGATAGCGTAATCCCTTTACTGCTTAGCAAGCCATTTAATAGCGTAAACGATTAATACAAAATGTTAATTTTCTACCTGTAATGACTGTTGACGGACTCCCTTTCCTCTTCCCTTCTCATCTGTATCATCTCCTTTTGTCCTCATATCCCTCCTTCCTTCTATTCCACGTTGTTCCTCTAGACGGTCTTCTTCCTCCTCTTCTTCTATCGATTTGTCGTGGGGCAATTCCCTTGAATAAATCTGCCGTGAAATTGGTGTGGCCCTCAGGCTGAAGGGAGTCACATTAAATTCGTCGTAGAGGGAAGGACAAGACGAATGGATGGCAAATGAAACCGCGAATTGGCCAAATGGTCGACAGAACAATTTATCGACGTACAAATTGTCTCACTGGCTGGAAATGCAGGGTTTAAAGTCTAAACTACAAACCACCGATGTCAGATTAGAGAAATTGATGGAGGTAACTGAAACCGAAAGAGGCTAAAATGTTAGAAAAACGTTTTATTGACATACAAGGTGCCAAATGCAGATTTCAATCCAAGTTACAAGCTACAGAAGTCAGTTTAAGATATCCGAGGCCCTACGTAACCCAAAAACTCACCCTGATCCCAGAAACCCTATGAGAGCCATATTTTTGGCGTTTTCCGGGGTACGAATTGTAGCGCCCCCACCTGGAAAACACTGAAAAACTACGGTTTCAGCCCGTCACCTGTCAGATTAGCTATAGGACCCAGAAAAACTAGAAGCTGGCCGGCAGCGCGTGTTTTTGTAGCCTTATGGAAATTTTAGAGACAAAAAGCGCATTCTGGCCAGCAAGCTAGACCTTAGAAAAGTTGAAAATAGATGTTAGAGAGAAACTTTTGAAGGTTCTTCTTGGCTGCAATTTAGCCACCCAGCAGAGAGCCCAATTAACGAAAAGACGAAAGGCGCTCGGATTTAAATCGAGAACAAAAAAGAAGGGGTGTCGATGGGCAGGCGCCCCTCTCCACCCCCCGATCCCCCATTCATCCACCCCACTTTTTGGCATCCGGCCAGCCGCGGAGCGGTTTTTTGGATAATTGGGGGCGAATAATGATCGGCAAGGGATATTCTGGCTAACCATTTAGGTATTGGTTGCGTTTAAATTTTGGTTTGGGAACAGCTTGAAAAAAGGCAACTGAAAAATCGAGGGTCACTGAATTTTTTAGGCTAAAAATTCGTTTTTCATAGCATTTTGCGTTGGCTTCAAGACAAAATGCATGAGAGACGAGAAGCTAAAATAATTTTCGGGCTGGCAAAGCGCCAAATAGGCGATTTTCGTAGCGACACAAGGGGGAGGGGAAGAGAGAGGGAGGGGACACCCCCCAAAAAGGAATAGATGGGATGGGCCACCCCCCAGTAGAGTAATTGGGCTGCAGAAAAAAGAGAGAGGGGTTATTTTGCGTTGAATAAAAGGGATGGGGAGGCATAGATCTACTCCATCATCAGAATTTAGTTGAAAAGGAGTGATGTGGCGGTCAGATTGACCAATGGGGCTGAGGAGAGAGAGAGAGAGAGAGAGAGAGAGAGAGAGAGAGAGAGAGAGCGAGAGAGAGAGAGAGCGAGAGAGAGAGAGACTTGCCTGTCATGCCAGTTAAGCCATCAAACTATATAAAAATTGTTAAAGTATAATTTGCCTTACAGACGCCGGTCACTGCAGTTCAAAAGCTCAAACGCCACTTGCAAGAATGAAAGGGCAAAAAGACGTATAGATAGAGATATAAACAGACAGGAAGACAGGCAGAAAGACAAGCAGACAGACACTTAGTAGAAAAACATTCCTGTTACCCCAACTAAACGTTTGGCAGTAACAAAAAGGGCAAGAACACTCCCTGGGGTCTGTGTCCTGAATAACAGTATTATATCCCTGTAATGCGCTTTCCGGTGTGTGTGTGTCACGGCTTTCTCCCGTTTTCTGCCAACGGATTTGTATCTCGGGGACAGCAGAAAGCAAGAAAAAAAAGCAGATCCTACTCTCTTTCCAGAGATTTTGTCGAAAAATTCAAAAAATATGATTTTTTTGTGTAAATCTAAAGAGCTAACTGAATCGCTGTAAGACAATTTAGCTTCAAAGTGAAGATTTTTTTTCTTCGAGCTAGTTTGACTTGCTAGTGAAAATCTATGCGTTTTGGCATGCAACTGAACAGACACTGAATTCTTTCTAGTCAGTTTGGGTGAAAATTGGAAAAACACGATTTTTGCCAGCAGCTGAAAAGATAACTGATTTTTCCCAAACTTTATGCAATATTTAATTAAATGTTGCAGTTGGGAGATTTGTTCTCTATCCGATATGACGAATGCTTGAAGAGATAAAGTGAAAAAAGAAAGGAGGCCATGTCATTTCCAGCCATTCACATCTTTCTATTTATAGCCCCCCTTGCTATGCAATCAGCAGAAGAGAGGGGTCAGTGCAAGGTGTGTCACTACGCAAATTGGCTAGCGCTTAACTGCTTAGCATTTAAAAATTTGTGTAATTTAATTTGTAATATTTATTATAGTAATTAGACTAGGATTTTTTATTAAATGAGTATCGATATGAGCAGGGAAATCAAGATGGACATCAGAACGGAGGGGATCGCCGTATTTTTCTTCAAATTTAGCTAAAAATCGCATTTTTAATGGCTCAATTCAGTTCAGTGACCTGCAATGGTTCCGTCCGTGTCTCCCCTTCATTGCGAACAATGACCGATACGGAATCCGTAGCTTCAACCCTGGCTAGCATCAGTCGAATTGAATGGCAATAGGGCTTCGGGCGGGCTGGGCCTGAAATTGAGCCAGTTTTTGACAGGGTCATTGAATTTTCCAGTGACCAGAATAAATTGGCAAAAATATTTGATATTCCATTCTACCAACCATCATTTCTGGTCCTGATTTTCAACTGTCGAAGCAGTGACACCGCTGCTTTTCCATCCGCTTCCCCAGTCCCCAATAATTGTCCGTTTACCAGGAAGGTTACTTCCGGTTTCGGATTGGCGCATATCTAAAGGCTTACTGTAGGACAGGCCATTTTTTTCATTTCAGTGGCCCATCTGCCTTATAGGCTTTGAAACGGGTCCATAATAGCCCGTAAATCTCCGTTTCTTTACCCCACCTCGACTTCGATAAATCCAGCCTGGCCAACAGTCAATTGACTGTCCACCTTCTCTATCTTCTCAATCCCGGCCACGTTGACGACTATCTCGGAACTGAATAGAAATCTATGATTTTATTCCATAAACGGACCTGAACGCCTTCTTCGGGCTGTCCTGTACAATTCCCTTGGCATCGATACTTGCCAGTTGAATTGAGAGATGTGATACGGAGGATGCATTGGGAGGTGACTCGATGCTCGACATCTTGGCTAAATTTATGATCGAAATCAATTTATTTAGATTTTTTGAGAGTTTTTGATAGGGTAAGTGATTTGAAAAATGCCTCTTTCGAAGGTAACCGATTTGAAAACTCACGCGATCCTTTAAAAATTTTTGTTAAATTGTATAGCAGTTAAGACTATGATAGCTTTTGATAGTGCATAAAGCTTTCTTTAAAAATTTAATCGGATTTTCAGGCACTCAGCCTAAAAACCTCGACAAACCTGCATATCTTGTTCTCGTCCTTCGTCGAACACGCAAAATCAATCCAGTTACCCCCGATCTAAAAATGTTGATTATTTTGAATAGGCGTGAACACAATTTAACAAATAAAATGTTTGAACCTCTGAACCTACCTCATCTGATGGCCGATGTTGCCAGATTACTTGCGCAGGTGCTGGGCGGGAGGTGAATTCACAGCTCATATTCACCACACCGGCGTTCAGCTATAAAGGTCACTGATTTGAAAATCGGTTATTTTTTGTAATCCTGAGCATTAAATAAAAGTTCATAATGGAGCATGTAGGTCAGGAATGAAGAAAAAATAGATAGAAATGTTTAGTAATTTTACAAAACTATTTTCGAACCTGATAAGTTCCAGCCGCGGCCGCATTCTCTTCTTTTTCGAGCCATACACCACACATTGGAGATCGATCCTTTAAAGGGACGGTAAAGGCATTGCTATCGATTTTGCCGCGTTACGCAACGCGCAAGCTGTACTTTCCATAGCATAATCGATTGGGATTAAATCAAAAAAATCCGCTACGCACCTGTTTACACTCCGAATAACATGATGAATCTGCCAAAATAGACCCAATTAAAAGACCGAAAGACAAAGAGAGAAGCACCACCATCCAAGCTGCACTACAAAGTATGAGAATTATTAATTTGTAAGGGAAATACGCCGTAAAATCAATATTTCCAGACGATTGAGTCACAAATTGGAAGCCAAGGAAGCCAAGGCTTTCGTCTTATCTGGTCTTTTTTTGAAAATTCGGGGCCCGAAGGGGGGAGTTGAATGAGGAAAGGAAGGCGCTTGAAAACCCGAGATAAGCCCACTCACTACGCTATTCCCTCAAATAGCCAAATAGGGATAGCCGTCAAGTTATGTCTGTCTACGCTACGACCCGTTTGAGCACAGCTACACTCTTTTTGCGTTAAATAACAATTTTTGGGTCAAATAAGACGAAAAACTGGCAAGAAATCTTCAAAATCTCAAAAACCGTATAAAGGCTAAATTCAACAAACTTTTTGGTTGGCAAGTAAGTCAGAAAATGCAAAACCCACTCGTTTCACGTCTAAACTGGCGTCCCTTGTGAACTCTGTGCTCAGCAGGGCCCGATTTGTCTTTTGTTGGCGGCTACTCGACCAGGGGCTAATGCGGCTTTTGACCTCAAGCAACGCTCCAGCCCCTAGAAGGCCCGACAACCGATTACGCTATCAAATTGGGGCTTTCTGGGCTGCATTGTGTTAGCTGAAATGTATTTTTATAATCTGAAAACTTTCGAAATTCAGTTACCCCCAATTCAGTTACGCTCAAATCAGTGACCCTAATGCTGCTCTCTCCGATTCCTTTGTTGAAACTTCCGATATTTTTATTCAATTTATTTGTCGCCTGCTCCAAAGGTGGCTTTTAAATGTTGAAATCTTTTGCGATAAATACGTTCCAGTCATTTGGCGATATTAAAATTGCGTAATCAGTTGTTGTCCCCGGTTTGTGACCATCGAAGCTTCAGATCGTTTGCGCCGACGTTGCGATGGCGCTGACAGTAGTGAGCCTGGAAATAAGGGGGTTAGCAGGGATTCTTTGAGGAAGGGAAGGCGCTGTCTAGCAGCGATTATTTAGTATATTGATACCTCGTGTATGAGCTGCTTCTTCGAAGTATAATTCTGTGCAATAATAGCGTGTATTCCAGTTGGTTGTTGTTGTTCGTCCGCTTCATCTCTCAGTGGATGCATTAATTGATATAATTGTGTTGTTGAATGAATGTCCATCCTATCCATCATTTCCCCCAATATCGCCATCAGCTTTTCTTGGGCGGCTGTGAATTGTTTGTTGGCATCCTGGAAGTCAGACAGTTAAAAAATGCAAAATCAAGGTCGACCACCATGGCCAAGTGGTAAGTGACGGCGCCTACCGATCTGACGATCCAGGTTCGACTCCCCGCCGCGGCAGATTTTTGCCTTTTTGCTCCAAATTCTCAGAATCGGCGAACTGGCAGCCAGTAAGCTTGTAGCAGCTTTGGAAAAGCGGAATTCACCTCTGGAATTTAGATATATCCACCTGACGCCGACGGCCGGTTCATCTTGACGTCAATAATGACGAGACGACGACGTTCAGAGGTTGACGGCAGGGTCTGAAAGAAAGAGGGGCAGATACTGGACTGCTAACGGGCGGATGGATTTTAGCAGGTCGAGAAAACGAATTTTTCCAGGTTTTTCCAAAAATTTGGTTTTCGAACGTGTTTCGGGACAAAAAGCAAATCAGGATTTTGGCCCTAAAAATCAAATTTCCTTGCTTTCGAAATATCAAAATCGGAAACAGCATGTAATTTTACATCGAATGGGTCGTCAACTAAAAATTTTCCAACCAGGGATTTTCAGGAAACTTTTTTGTCGACTTACAGATTGAAGAATATGATGGACGAGTTGTGGATTTATTGAATGGGATTTCAGACAATCATTCACTTTCGAATAACATTGCGTCAAACGGAGGAATGGAGTGTTGCTCAGCTGAAAACAGGATAGATTGTGTTGAGAGCAAAGAAATTGATTTGGCGAAAAAATCGGCCTTGGAGACCGTGGCCTAGTGGTTAGTGGCCGCGCCTACCAATCTGACGACCCGGGTTCGAAACCCGGCCGGGGCGAACCTTTTACTGTTTGGATCAAACGCTCGGAATCGGTTACCTGACAGCCAGTAGAGCGAATGCGGGAGAAAGAGAGCGACAGACAGAGAGAGAGAGAGAGAGAGAGAGAGAGAGAGAGAGACAGAGAGAGACAGAGACGGTTAGAGAAAAACCGTTTACCTGATCCACTGCATCTTTAAAAGCTGCCAGAAATTTATCAGGTGGCAGCCCGACCCCTCTAATTGTCGCGCGATCCGGATACGTATCCTTCGGCACGCAACGAGCCAACCTGATGGCCCTGAAAGGACCTTTAACCGAAATAAATGAGAGCCAACAGAGCGGATGGCGACATTTATCTCTCTCTCTCTCTCTCTCTCTCTCTCTCTCTCTCTCCCACCGTGATTCGACCCAGAATGCGTCGCCGAAGGTTTCGCTGATGGCAAAATTGCGTCGCCAGAAGATGTTCAGCTCCCCGAATCCATCGGGCAGCATCTGAAGTGCTCAATAAACAAAATATAGAATTCTTTGCAAAGAAATATCGGATAAAATCTGTATTGGACGATAAAGTGCGGGATCGATAGTGACATTCAGCCGTCCGAATCTCATCCACCTCGTCATCTTGTCGACGATGCGAAAGTTTTTTGAATACGGGTAGGCCGTCACGCACGCTGAGCTCTCCCTAAAAGAGCACAATCGTTGTAGTCTGTAGCCTGGCTGCCAGCTGAGCAACGCCAAACAAATTCTGGCTCTAAATTCCAAAACTCCAAAGGTTTGCCGCGGGCAGGGGTCGAAACTGCGCCCCTGGGAACGCTTTTGTAGTCTAGATTTTGTAGTCTATATTCTCTCGTTGCCAGCTTCCGAATTCCAATCGTAAGCTATTTTGGACGATCGCTCTTGGCTTACCTTATTGGGACCAGCGTTAACGAGCCGCGCTTCCCATAGTCGTTCCTGCAACAACAAGTGATGGTTGCTGGGCCTTCTGGGAGCTGGTGCGTTGCTTGAGGGCAAAAGACGCTTTAGGACAAAGGCCAAGCTAGCAAAGACCCTTTGGCGCCCATTTCGCCGTTTCAACCTTCAATCGACCTTTAAACCCCGTTTTACAGGTGTCACCGTCCTTTCAAAGCGTTCTCAAGGGCCCTTGAAGGCTGGGCAAACCAGCAGAGATCCTTTCCGAATACGTGAAAATACTAATTACGGTATATTATAACATAAAAGGTGGATTTTTAAAGCCGTCGACTAGGCTACAAAAGGTCCATATAAGCCACGATGGATATTTTGTTGAAGTTTGTGGTGGAGAGGCGAAAGCTGAAGAAGAAGAAAAGGCGGGAGACATCTGTCTGAAAGGTACACACCAACGGGGGCCGAATCTAACCCAATTCGACACCAATAGAATCTTTAATCTAATCTAATCTAATAATCTAAACTCTTTTCCGGCTGCTTTCACAAAGGAACCCCTTAACGTTGTGATGGCGTTTCGTTATGGGACCCAGCCTATTTTGTGCTTCATTCCTTTTGCTGATTCTGAATCCCAAACCAATTTTTGTCAAGTAGCTCGTTGGAGGATTGGTCACGAAAACGGGGGCTGGGGGGGAGCTGATTTGCGAGCCCCGCTCAAGAGCGGGAGCGGGAGCTGAAAATTTTCAGCCCCGCTCGGCTCCTGCTCCCGCTCAGCTCCGGCCAGAGCCGGCTCGCAGATGACCAACCTGCTCGTTGCACAAAGTTATGACATTTCAGCTTTCCATTTTTTCGAAATTTGCCACTTCAAAGCCATTTATCTTGCCTTGTCCGGCGGATTTCCGAGAAACAAATATAGCCATCGTATTCATAACACTTTCTTCATCTACTCAATTATTTAACTAAAAAACGTTGAAAATCGAAAAAATCGATCCCGATTTTCAGTCCATTTCCTACCCCTGTAAGAGATTGTTAAAGCGCACGTTCAGAGAGGGGCCGTGTACTCGTCCCAACGTGTACACCCTATGGACGTAGGGACCGCGCGCACTGCCTGCCCGTGCTGTGACAGGCCATTCTTTGTTGCGTGGGACGCCCCTCGCCCCCTTGCCAGGTTGTAGCTGTGGCTGACTGGTATCCATCCGCGCCTCCCGAGCGGGGGGCCCGGGTTCGACCCCCGGCCGCGGCAAAAATCTTTGCTTTTTTCCCAAAAAACGTCCCTGAACGTGTCCTTTAATATAAATATACCATTTGACTCTGTCAAAAACTCTCTACCAGAAAGACTATTAAAAACAAGCTAGAACTCTGAAAAAAAACAACCGAAAAGTTGGTCCCGCCCGGGAAGATATAATCTTAAAATGGCGATAAATTTCTAGATCTGGTTATTTCGCATAAATTGAAAGCAGCTTCGGGAATTAGCAAAAAAATTCTACGAAAAATAGGCTGTGGCCGATGCCGAAACGACACCGTATCTTTCAGAAAAATCGACAAGCAATGACGGCACCTATTATTTGTTATGATTGGATGAGACGGTGAGTTGTTGTCTTGCTGTTGTCTTGCTCAACTTCTTACACTCACCATTCGGCTACTTTTCAACAGAAACCTTTTAGACCGCGACCCCAATACCGAGGAGTATGGCTTTATCAAAGGCAATTCCCCTATCGCAAATTGCATCCAGCACAACAATGGATCGTCAATCAACACGTACAAATCCGCGAGAAAAACCAGATGCGGGCAACTTGCAAAGTTTGTCTTGTCTCTCTCCCCCTCCCTCTCTCTCTCTCTCTCTCTCTCTCTCTCTCTCTCTCTCTCTCTCACTCTCTTTTTCTCTGTTTCTCGGGCTCTTTTCCTTCATCGCTCGCGTTTCAGCACTTCTCCTCCCAAACAGCCCTCCCCTTCTACCTCAGCGGATTCTATGACAAAATTATTTTTGAAGTCATAGCGATCACCCGATCGCAGGTAAGTAAAACGATTCCCGAACACCTGATCGAAAAGTCACCTGGCGAGGGGGGAGAGAGAGAGAGAGAGAGAGAGAGAGAGAGAGAGAGAGGGAGACAATAAGCGCGAGTGACGGCTTCATTCCAGCAATCTCCGGCGCTGCAACAAGTCGGAATAAAAGCCTACATAGCTAATTCCCTGGACACGTGGTACACGGATGATTTCCACATTAACGTATACCTGTCAATCGAGGGCCAGCCCCTTCCATATTTTGACTGTGAAATCAGGTGAATTAACGTAATCTATTCAATTACATAGACTGTTTAGCAGAACCAATTGGAATTTGCGATTAATGCCAGATAGGTAAGAGAGAGAGAGAGAGAGAGAGAGAGAGAGAGTGAGAGAGAGGGAGAGGGCAAATCGATATTTCAGGAAAGTACCGTATGATGTGGCCCATCTTCGAATTCTTGATGAATTGACGGTCAACATGAAGTGCCGCCGGATCGAAACATGGTTTCTAGAGGCTGAACAAGCACAGCACCTGCTGGTATGTCTCTCTCTCTCTCTCTCTCTCTCTCTCTCTCTTTCTCTTTCTCTCTCTCTCTTTCTCTCTCTCTCTCGAATTTTTATCATTTCAGCTTGGATCGTGTCTTCGTGGACTGGGCCAATTGCGTTGCTTCCAACGGGACAATCTGGTGATTTACCCAAGCTTTCCTGATGGAACAGCATTGACTGGCAGGTGAGAGAGACACACAGCGAGAGACAGAGAGAGACAGAGAGAGAGACAGAGAGACTATGGTAACCAGCATGAAACCTAAAAAAACAAGAGAATACAAGAATGATTGCAGTATGTTGAAGATGAATGAGTGGCTACTGGATGGAACTCGACCCCATCAGGTATTATTCCCCACATGATTCAATCCCCTTTTTGGAGGTATTCCTGTCAGTAGTTGATCTATCGTCCGAAGGATATTTTGATTTCTACTCAACAGCATTCAACCAGGTATCCAAAAAATACCCCCGGGTTAATGGAAAAGAACCCGTGGAATTTCAGCTGGTCGACTGTCAACTGTTCCGCTTCAGTTTCATCTATTTCTCAGAGAATGATTGTCTTCTTTCTCTCCCTATCATCCATAAACTCGTCCTTCATATTCTTAACACTGTATCATTTCGACATTAATAGATGGGTATTGTGACATTTAGAGAAAAAGTGAGACAGGAAATGGTCGACGTCTTATCATACTCGATACACAACTAGCCCTTCCAGACAGTGTCAACAGTCGATATATGGAGGTGAGCATTCTTGCTTCTTCGCTATCCAATTCTTGCAAATTGCAAATTCTAAGAGTTTCGAGCAAAAAGCAAAAAGTCTGTCGTGACCGGGAGTCGAACCTGGGTCATCAGATTCGTAGCCAACACTGCAATCTATCAAAATCTCGAAAATCAGAATATTGAATTTTGACAATTTCTAATTTGCATAGGGTAGATGCAGGGCGTAAACGTGCAATTCCTGCAGCTCTTAATCTTGATTCAAATATCGAAATGTCGAGATTCTCAGAGCTCATCTCCTCCTAAAAGCAATTCCAGAGGACGTCGGTCGATCTAAAAGCAGATAATTTGACGATGCTAAAGGCACTCGGCAATGAATTGAACAAGCTATCGATCGACGAACCAATTCTTCGCTTCCAGGTACCTCATCAACAAATCCCATCAAATGCCTCATTGATTCTCCTCTTTTTTTTCAGCTCTTCTATGCCGAAGAAGAATTTCCCCGACGAACGTTGTCCGGCATTTGGCCCTTTCATTCAGTCTTTCCCACCGGAATCCACGTGATCATTGCCCAGAATTATCCCACACAGGCTCACGTCATCAACGAGGCAAGATACATAGATTGTCTGTCTGTCTGTCTGTCTGTCTGTCTAAACTTTGGCCTATTTTTCAGCTTCAATGGACGGTGGCCAGTGAAGGTATCCAAAAGTTTATGAAACCGGTTCGGCAGCAATGGCCGTTCAATGAATGATGTGTGACGATCGAATAACTTTCGGATGATGAAGAATGCTTGAATTTTGTGTATTCTATTGAATCTGAATGTATTCGCTTTATAAAGGCCCGAATAATGTAAAAAAGAGGGACAGTCAAGAAGAAATGTGTGGAAATGGAGATAACACATCCCTCAATTGGGAACAATAATCATCGGGTGAGAAATGCCTTTTTGGCTGAAAGTATTTGCAAACAGGGTTTTTTTTGGCCAGATAATTAAAAAAGATGGTGAAGCGATATTCGATGACAACACGAAGCAAAAGATATAATCAATCAAGGAACCAGCAAATTAACCAACCAACAAATCAAGCTTTGGGGGAAAGTATTTGTCACATGGATCCTCTCCATTGGGCGGTTTGACAAAATAGGTATTATCGCCGGGTTTGTGTAACAGCAGGTGGTCGGCATTCCATTGGGCGTACAGAACTTCAGCGTTGGCACGGCGGATGGTGTAGATGGTCGAGTGAGCCGTTGTTGACCATTCAGCCCCATCGTTCACAGATTGCATTTCCGACTCGTTCAATGGCCTGCTCAATTCAATGATGAACACGTGAATATCTCGT